AGATATTTTCTTGTAAATTAAAAAAGTAATGCGTTACTTTACTAGTTACTTGATAAAAGTAATCTAATTACGTAACTCGCGTTACTTGTAATGCGTTACCCCCAACACTGATGCTAATAAGCAACTAGTTCATGAGATTTGGTCCTGACTCCCTGTACTAAAATGTTATCTATTTATTTTAGTGTTGGGCGATATGCTCAATTTTCATATCGTCCTATCGTCAGCCTTTGAGATCGCCGATACACTGTATTATCGTGCTAATTTATGTAATTGTTTAGTTTCATTGCGAGAAAGTGAACCAACTCCAGCGTAAGGCTAAAAGCAGCCTAATGTTTTAAATATGACTGAATTTGTATTTAACATGATAACAAATTAATAGAAACATCGTAAGTTACATTGCTATCGTCAAAGGCATCAGCCTCAGGCTGATGCCCACAACCCTACTGGAGAAAGCTATCTATTAGCATTGGCATTCATCACAAAAACTTTTCTTTGTCCAAAAAGCAATCAGGCACTGGTAAAATATTTAACCTGTAATATAATGAAATGTACTAAGTTTTATTTTGTTAGAGTACAGCTAAAGGCCTGTTCACACCAAGCTGAGTGTTCGATGCGATAAACAGTTTATTTTAATTTGAATGAATATTCGCAATCGCATGCTGTAAATGTGCTGACTATTCGTGTTAGTGTAAACAGGACTTAGGTTTAAAATGCTGTGAGAAAAGGAAGATGCTTTTTGGTGTATTTATGGTATTAACCAACAGTGAAACAAACCTATGCTAACCAGTTTGATGTTGACCACCTTGACTGGACCCCCTGCTACCATTCCACCATTCACCATGGCAGCGTGCAACATCAATGCTTGTAGTAAACTCAGCATGCAGTGTTCAAACCTGTGCCAAAGCTAACCTGTTTATTGATATTTTACTTACAATCACAAGTAGCCTCCCAAGTGTTATGTGAAAAAAATAATGACCAGTGTTGTTATTGTTAAATAGAAGTAACCTGATTAAAAATCATTAAATGAAGCTGAATAAAATATAAATATTACATGAAAAACTAGAAATGTTGCCTTCTCAACTAACTGAAATGAAATAAATTTAAAGACCTGGGGCCTCATTTATAAAACGTTGCACAGAAACCATCCTAAATTTGATCTTACGATCATTTCTCAAATATGCGTATGGGTGATTCATAGAATGAACGTACATACAGACAAAATGCATGTATGCCTCTCTTTCAGATGTGAAATCTATGAATCGCAAATGATCTTTAACTTGCGCGCAGCTGAATGGTTTTAGCTCTCTGTCTTGTAAACGACTCCTAATTAATGTCATTAAGATGCAAAAGATCGCAGTCATCATCCAAATTCTTTAATTTAGAACAGCGAGCGAGCTGCAAAAACAGCTTACATTTCCAAAAACCTGTAGTACTCGAACAAAAAAAAGTGCGTACGTCTGCTCAGACCCTGACGTGACGCTAAGCACTTTTCCACGTCAAAGCCAGTTTTTACAAATATGAGCATTGGCGTGGATTTAAGCGTAGACACACTCTAAGATTAAATCTGAGCATACGCACGCTTTATAAATGAGGCCCCTGTTCACACCAAGAATGCTAACTATAAATAGAACTTTATATTAGCGTCCACATCAACACATGATAACATGCTGTTTGTTATAAGCCTGCTGCAGTTATGTAATCTGTTGCTTTAAATAATCAGGCTCATTAAAGTCAGATAGATAGGATGATGTTGGGGAAAGTTACTTTTAAAAGTAATGCATTACAATATTGCGTTACTCCATAAAAAAGTAACTAATTACGTTACTTAGTTACTTTTTATGGAAAGTAATGCATTACGTTACTTTTGCGTTACTTTTTAAATTTTGCCCACCTACCCAAGCTCACACACACACACACACATACAGCCTCTATTAAGCCAGAACAGCAGGATACACACATACATATACTTTCATGCAAAATATCAAATTACTTTTCAAATTGTGGGTCAGCAGGCCCACGGGTATCACGCAGCGTCAATAAAAAAGATCCCTGTTTTCCAAAGCATGCGGTGTTGCTTATACCTAAATCAACATTTTTGCTCATTTTACAAGTTGTGCTGTAATGCGGCTGGAGTAATAATCTCAGGTTTGCTATTAGAGCGCAGACCGTTAGATGTAACTGTACTCAGAAGGCTTCTTTTCTTGTGTTGTAGACTGTCTGGAGGGCAGTGCGCTGTCGGACCGGCTCCAACTTCAGATGCTCCGATGCTGAGAACAAGCAAACTGTAAGTTCCTAATTCAACACTTCCATGTCCATTCAAAACACATGTGCTCTGTTCCAAAAGATGGTGAGCTGCCTATGTAGGCAGTATTTTTAGGCATCATAGATATGCCCCTGATGCAAAGGTTGTTGTAGGTCATCTAAGATCAGGGTTGGGTAAAATTCTTTAAAATTTCTATCTATCTATCTATCTATCTGTCTGTCTGTCTGTCTGTCTGTCTGTCATTTTATCTTTCACTATTTATTATTCTGTTCTATCTTTGTTTAATCTATCATTCAATTGTTCTATATATTGTTCGTCATATCATTTTGTTTATTTTATATTTTTTTCAGTTCTGTCATTTGTTCTATCATTTGTTCTGTCGTTTGTTCATCATTCTATCATCGTTGTATCATTCAATCTGAGTCAGTTATATCATTTTGTCTGTTTCTGTCTATCATTTGTTCTGTCTCTGTATTGTTTGTTCTATCATTCTATCATCCATTCATTCTATTATTCTGTCAATCTACCTTTTATTTGTTCTATTGTTAATTAGTTCTATCTATTGTTTGTTCGATCACTCTCTTCTTTATTCTATCTATCTATCTATCTATCTATCTATCTATCTAGATATTCATTCATTCATTTAATTCTATTAATAAACTGCTATTTTACACAAATGTTTGTCTGAGCTGTTAATATCTTATGCTTATCAGAGTTAGCTTAGCAACATGCTAACAACAAACTCCATAGAAATTAACTGTAAACTATGCACTTAATGTGAAAAATTTTGTGCTATGGCACTTGTTTGGCATTGCTGCCTCAGTTTTCATTCTCAGTTCACCATTTATGAGGTTCAGTTTCATTTTAGGATGCTAGCAGCTGCTTATGTAGGCAGCAGACAGCAAGGCAACTCACTAGGTGTTGGAACAGAGCCATGATTGTCGCCAGATTATTTTCTTCCATTTTAATGTGAGAAAGGTAAACCGTGGTTGTTTGCACAAATGCGCCAAGCAGCTTTTGTAGTCATGCATTAAGTGCAGTCTTTCATAATAATACTTTTATATATAGTTTTTTTTTTTTAGCATTGATAGCAAATAAAATACTCTCACACTTATGAAGATGGCTGATAAATATGCAGTGTCACCTATCGAGCCGCCTAGAATATACAAACCTGTGATTTCTCTGCAGTGATATTGCTCTTCTGGAGTCGCTGAGTTATTCCTTGCTGGTTTAGTCAGAATTGGGCATTTACAGAGGAATTTCGAAATGAATTTTCCAGCGCTTGCTGTTCGTCTGCAATCACCCCGACTGTGTTGTTTAAGAGTTTGTTTCCTCACTTTAATAGCACTTTTTGTTATGTCCTTATAGAGTGCAAATTTGTTCGAAAACACAATTTGTGTCTTTAAAGGTTTGTGGGCCCAGGCTGGAATTACGTTGTGGATGAGTGAGAGAGGCCGAGTCTGAGGGACACATTTGTGTGTGCGGCAATATACAGAAGGGTTAACTCTTTGCTTTTCAGAGGGGGTAAAAGCCAGGCAAGTCTCTTTAATTGAGTGTGAAAACAGCTGGGTATCTAGAGCCATTTTCCCCCACAGCAGCATGGAAGTGACTATCTCAATATCCTCCTGACTCTAATCGCTCATAACCCCAAATTCCCCCTTTCTTTCTCTCCCTCTCGCTCTCGGAGCCCTGCCGAGGATTGTTTTACGCTTAATTTTGTTAAACCTAATGAGATTTCCCTAATTAAATCTCCTCCTGACTGGAAAGCTCTCTCTCCTGTCGAGTGGAGTGATTGTTTGTAGATCTTTTTAGACAAATAAACATTTTCGGAGCGAAAGCACAGTGTAAGAGAGATGGAAGGAGCCTGCATCTTTTCATTTTTGCGGTAGCAGCCCTGTGCTACACTCATCATGCTTTGCTTAATGTCTTTTCACCTCATTTTTCACCTTCTCAAATGATCAATACTAGTTCCTCAGGTCTCATATTACAGCTAAGATGAAGTGAATTAACTTATTGTACATTATGTCAAATCTTAACCGGGAGCAGTGTTGGGGAGAAACCAAATAAATGTAGCGATGCTATTAACTTTGTAGTAGCATAACAAAAGCTCAGCTACCTTCAAAACTGATTCATTTTTTTTTAGTTATAAGCCACTAATAACTACAATGAATCCCTTAAGTCTGATTCTTTTTAATGAATTGGTTAACTTAGATCATTTAAATACATTGACTTGTGTGATGATTTGTTCAAACTGATTCACTTGGATGAGTCATTTAAATGAATCCGTTTAAAAAAAAGCCACAGATTCATTTGAGTAGATTAATCTGTTTAGAGTGAGCATTGTAGCACTGTATACAGCATTATTATATTGTGTGCAATTTCACAAAATGCTACTTTATTGTATTAATATACTGTTTATTTATTTATTTATGAACTTATCCAAATTTACTAATTTGAACCATGGCTAACCTTTATGGCTAGGTTTTAATGTAGCATCCCCTGTGCTGTGAAATAGTAGTGATTCTAGACAGATCCACGACTGAAAGCCTCTTTTATAGAAGCAATATTGTGATTTATATAAGGTTGTATGAATATGTATGTAATGTATGTGTGTGTGTGTGCCAGGATCTTGTTTTGTGTAGGAAAGTGCCGCTGGGTGTGTCTGTTCCATTGAACTCTCTGAATAAAAGGCCTTGAGAGTATTGTTGACTGCGGTCATTGAGCTGGTATTGTGGATGCCCCATGGGAGACTATTGTGGGACTCGACCTTCTGTTTCCCGTGCCGACTCCGGAAAGCTAGTGCCAAGACGCCTTCACACACACATCACAGACACACACCATTCCAACCAGACCCTATTCTTTGCCCCTCCTGTGGACCGTTGGGCAGTCTGCCCAGCTCTTGTGAAAGGTGCCCTCTGATTTTACCCCCTCTGATCAGGTTTCTGCCACCAGTTGCCCAGTTTGATGTGAGTAAGTAGGGTGAGGAGTCAAGGGAGATGTCCTGGCTTCTGGCACCAGCAGGCCACACACAACACCTAGATCACCATGTGACTGTTCATTATTCAAGGACTGACTTGACAAAGCGTCCTTTGCGTGGAATGTAACCGTTGTTTATTTGATTTCCAGAAAGCTCTATTTAAAACATGAAATCAAAACAAGCCATGCACAATGCATCAGAGCACGTTAATCAAAAGGGGGGGAAAATGTATTGTAGTTCTAATTATTTTTTCTTAAAAATGTAATCATTTTCTGCATTCCTGCAATCAGTTTTCTGCTGAAATAATCAAGGCTGTGGCAAAATTATACTAACTAATAATATTATAGCTTAATGTTTTCATAATCAAAGACCCGCCTACATTATTTATGCCACATTGCAATGTGTTTTTGGCATCATGAAGGTACACTGAACTAAAATCAACCTGTTAGTTGACTTCAAATCATAGAAAACATTTAATTTCAGCAGATTCTAATACTAAAAACGTATTATTTCCATAGTCTTGGAAAAATATAGTGGAATTTTAGAATGGTAATTTCAGTTCCTGGAAAAGCATTATAATTCATAAAATCTAAAATGCATGAAAAAGCCATGGACATTATTATAATGAATATATATTTTTCTAGCTACGCTTAGATATAAAATATTTAATCACTTTGTGAGTAAAATACTGAGGGAAAAACATGAAAACAATCTGGAAATTTATTGGTGAAAAGTTGTGTGAATCCTGCATTATTTATTATTATTAATGTTATTAATTTATTATTATTACGGCTGCAGAAAGAGCCTTTGCAAAACATTTAACTTCCTTATTTCTATGTCAAACATCATGTAAGGCAGCACTTTATTTTATCTATTGGTATTATTTTTGTGTTTTATATTGTTTTCTTGGACCTAGGATGATTATTAGAAAGTAAATGTGGTCCATTTTGATTTCATGTTGCCGTTTAATAGTGGATATTAATATATATATTTTTTCCGTATGGCATCAGTTTATGTGGGCATTAACAGTACAGTACCTTGTGTTATTGAGCAGTTGATTAGTATGATTCCTTTTGCTCTTTCTATAACAATCTCAACCTCATCATCATCATCATCTCCACCACCCTTGGCCTTCACCCCGAGTCTGTTCCTCATCAGCCTCGATTAGCATTATGTTGATTTAGCCTAGCAGCCCCCACCAACCCAACGGAGGCTTATTAGGTTGAATATTTTTTTTATTTATTCCCGTTTTCTTGGGGTCCCTGTCGGCATTTCCAATTACTCTCGCCGTTCGGCTGTAATTGCCTCCGTGCTAATGGCTGCCAGACAATTGTGCTAAATGAGGTGAAGGCGCGAGGCAGCGAGCTCGACTTCATTAAGAGCTAATGGGATTTTATTGGGGGGACTGAAGACCCAGCTCATCAAAAAGGAGAGATGGAAGGAAAACGAAACAGATGGAGGAGAAGAGGCTGAGAGAGTTTTATAGGCGTTTTCTTCAGTGTCTGCTTGTCTTAAGTTATGTCGGACAAGAATGCGCAACCCTACTGTTTTACCGTTGCCGAAATACAGACAGACACACTTGAATCTCTCAAATGCACAGACACACGCAAAACATGCGCGCTCTGCTAAGCAAACATCCATGTGCATGTAACTGATAGATACTCATATAAACGCATTAAAATTCAACATAATGTGCATGCTTGAAAAGATGAAAGAGATGGAATTACAGTGAAGATTTTGTGATAATCTGTGCATGTCAATCTGATTACACAGATTTCTTAGATAACATCAATCGAGTGCCAAACTTTGCGCTTTAAAGTGTGCATCACTTCTAGCTGAAAAGAGCATTTGCTTGACAGCAATCTGGAAAAAAGTTAGTTTTTCATTGCAGCAGTTTTATGTCACGAGTAGATTGTTTAGATATGATGAAAGATGCAAAACGGCATCACGTCTGACTGGATGTCATATAGATGTTAAACAGCTCTTCAAATCAACGTCAGAGGAAAAATGTTATGTTCATTTAAAACTAACCCATAAACCACTG